GGGCTGGGGCACTGCGCGAGAGGCTGACCTGCACTCAGCTCCTGTTTCCCTCCACAGCCTTGGGCAAGCTTTGCATGCTTGGGTACGTCACGCACACAGACATGCCCCCACCAAGCCCAGCGCAAGGAGCTCCCCAGAAGAGACGCCCCAGCTCGCTGCCCAGCGTCACTGCAGCTACAGAGCGGCCGTGGAGCCAGGCACGGCAACGCCTGATCTGCTCCCAATTGCAAATATTGTCAAAGCATGGACTAAATTTAATCAAAGCAGAGCTTGTCTCAAGACTCAAACGCTTCAGACGTTCTGCGTGTCAGATGAATCTCATGTGAAATCTAGATTTGCCAGGCACAAACATAGCCTGCGTCTAGCTTCGGGGAATGAAAGGGCAAGGCAAAGTAACCTGCACGGCACACTGTGAAAATGAATAACGAGGGGAAAACTTCTGGTCCACTGCAAAATAGGCAACTTTTCTGTCAAGTTGGCATCTTGGCAGGGAGATCACCTCTCCGGAACCAGTTCGGCCCAAGGGCTGGAGCCCTGTGGCCTCGCAACCCAACATTTTTCACAAGCTCATGCTCTCTCCATTCAGCTTATATTTAGCTCGGTATTTCTGAGGCGGAAAGCAGCACTTACAGAACGCACAGAGAGTTTAAGCTGTCTTTATCAAGGAATATAGTGGTAGTTAGTTGTCAAAGTTGTCATTAAACTCAAGCAGTAATAATCAAACATACCCATACAAAAAGATAAAGCTCTGTAACTCTGAGACTGATGTATGCTAAGGAAAAATGAATGCTGGGAACTTGGCTATAAAAACATGTTTTTACCCTAGTCAACGGAGCCATTAAATAGGAAGAAAAGACACCCTCAGTTGTGTACCGGGAGCAGCTAATCTATTTGTCTGGTGTGTCAGCGCTCCAGTTTGTTGGCTTGTTTTTAAGTTTTCTACTTATATTTAACACCTGAAGGGATGTTAAATATCAAAACGCAAATGAAATGCACACTGTGTAACTCTCTTAAAACCTCTCCACCATCATCTCCCAAGCCTCATGGAGAACTTAAGATGAAGAATTGCCTGCAAGAGCTGAATCATATCTTTAAGCAAAACCATTGCTATTAGGTGACTAAGACCAAAACAATTCTCTCACTTTATTTATTGCAACTGATGTTGTTATTAAAAGCCAGACAAGTCCCTTCCCAGCCCCTCGTGCTATCGGGTCATCGTGCGCTGGTGAAACGCTGCAAAAGGCAGGTTGTAAATAGCGAGGACCCTTTGGGCAGGGTCCGAAACACAGGGAAAGTGCTTTGTTCTCCCAGGAGCACCCCGGCCGGGGATGGCGGGGCTGCCGGAGGATGCCTTGTGACAGGGGTCATCGCTGACCCTTAAAATAAGACAAGCGGCTGCGCAAGGGCACAGGGAATGCCTCGTGGAAAGAAACTGTTGTGCGAGAAAAACCGCCTGCCCACAGGCGGGCTGCACGGACAGGGTCTGGCACGTCTCCGGAGCAGGAGCAGCCGAGTGATTTGAAAGCCTGCCTGCGGGAATTAACTCGGCTCTTGGGGAGAGCCTGGGAGCAGGGGGACCGTGGTGGGGATGGAGAGGGGTGTCCACCCTGCAGGGTCGGATAGCGCTCGGCACGGAGCAACCGCACAGACACCTGGGGCAGGCAGAGCTCGGGCTGTTATATTGGAGCAAATTTATATTGGAAAAACCAATTTTCACTGGTTTTCCCCAACAAACCCCGTCCGCCCGCCCTCGCCTGCACCATCGCCTGAGAACAGTGCGTCATCCAAAGCCTTCGCATTTTCATGAAGCAGACTCGAGCAGAACTGAAACAAGCCGGGCTCTGCTCCCCCCTTCCAAATGTTTGCAGCGTTGGGAGGGAAGCCAGGAGGCTTTAGGAGACATTTTAAGAGGCTGTGGGTACGGCTGCTCCCCTGCAGCACATTGCACCACAGCTGCCCGCCCCAGGCTCGCCCTGCTCAACAGCATCTCCCACCGCCCTGCGGGCACCTCTGCTTTTATCTTTGGGTATCACGGGAGTTCAGGTCCCTGTCCTCTCCAAAAAATCAAACCCAAACTCCAAACATCCTTCAGTCTAAACACTCACTGTTCATTCGGTAGGTCAAGTTGTCTACAGCATTATTGGTACATCCCTGCTTGGACGTAAAATTTCAGGAAAACGTGAAAACACCTTACATAAAGCAAATTACAGCCCTGTGGCTCAGGAAAACCCGGTTGTTTCCCTAATTAATACCCACAAGATTTTTCAGGGTTTAAGTAAAGCTGTAGGAACAGCACTTCTTTCCCCAGACTGACCTGGCTTCAGCCACTCCGGGGTCCTGAATTCACTCTTCTTCTGGAAACTCTTGGATCTCACTGGGAGTGAGGTTTTCCCTGAACGTGTTTGACTTTACCCGTCTGAAAAGTGAGATGAAGTCATACGTAAAGTGCTGCGTCTTACATTTTCCTGAAGCCTGGGTTTTAAAGGCGATGGAGGGATCACCCCCAGGCAAACTCCCCGAAGCCGAGGGGGCTTGTGGCACTCCAGTCAGTTATTTTACCCTTCAGCAGTCATTTCATTTCTATTCCACCAGAGCTTTCCCGGCAGGACTCAGCCAGGCTTTTTGGATAAACAGAACCCCACGTCCGAGAGCTGCCCGCGCTCCGGCTGTGGTCGGATAGCGTTAATCTTATATATGCGATATCGGCGACTGTTTGAAGTTCCTGCTGCCACCACAAAGCAGTGCTAAAGAAATTACTTCAGAAGTACTGCAAGCACCACGCTGTGCGTAATTGCAACAGGGATGACACATGTGGGTTTTATTATTATTCTAAAAACGCACAATTGGGAAAGCCAATATTTTTAATGGAAGTGGTTTCAAATGCTAGTATTTATTTGCTTATTAAATGGTTTAGCTGGAGACAGAGCATCTTCAAAGGAGGAATTTTTTTCCCAGAATGGGTATCTGGGGCTATAGCGCTATATTATTATACACAAAAAATATTTCCTTATTAGCTTTTTATTTCAGAGAACACATTTAACTGACACTTCCCGTGCTGACAGCTTGCCAAGCTTCAAAGCACAACTTCTGCAAGGATTATAATGATTGTGAGGCTGGTCCAGATGAAGCTGTATCCCAGCTGACACACAAGCTCTGTGAAAGGAGTTTTTCCTGGTTTTGGAGAGCCTAAAGCCGAGGTCCGCGTTGGGACACACACGCTGTGCGTGTTTGGGCCGTCTTTCAAGGGGGCATGATGCACTTCCAAGCTGTGACCACATTTTGGGGACCTGGTTTCTTCTGTAATTCCAGCCGTTTCCTACAGCAATGCAGATTTCCCAACACGTGTGGGAAAGATCTCCCCACGCTGCCACAGAGCCGGGGGCAGGCGCTGGGAGAGCTGAGGGGCCCAGCCAGAGCTGGGGGATTAACCCTTGGCCACCCCAAGCCAGAAATCAAAGCTCTTCTCCATCTCCCTGGGACATTTGGCTGATGTGGGGTGCCCAAAGGGTGCTTCAGGGAGGGTCGCAATGGTCAGAGCTTCACACCCTGAGCCCTCACAAGGCACGTGCAATGCTGCATCCTCCTTGCACCCTTTCACCCAAGGATGCAGTAACAGAAATGCACCCTTACCTACAAAAAAATCTTTTCAAAATTAAAAAAAATCACAATATCTCTGCTCTCACATGGAGACCGGAGTTCCCACACTTGTGCTGATTAAGGCTGACACCTCCAGCCACGATTTGCCCATCAAACAGCATCGTTGCCACCATCCACCCCCTCCGCCTCTCCCCGGGGGCTGCTGGGGACCCACAAGCCCCTCTCCCCCCTCAGTGCTCCACAGGCCCCACGGATTTCGGCACCGCCGCCCAA